TTGTTTTATATCGCTCTCCTTTGTCTCAAGATTGCATTCTTTACGATTTTATTTCTGATCAAATTAATCATGCCCTCTCCTTTTATCAATCAATATCGTCGTTGTTTTCCAAACAATTCAAATCATTCACCTTCCCTACTTGATTTATGTCTTGTTTCTGATCCTAGTCAGTGCTCAGTTTTTCCACATTTACCCTTAGGTAACTCTGATCACAGTTTGATCTTTCTAAAACTATTATCTAAATCTTCTTTTTCATCAGAATACCCTCATCATTGTACCACATAAAACTACCTTAAAGCTGACTGGGACATTTTCAATGATTATCTTTAATGGCCTATGGGTAGAAATTTTCGTCTTCCTGCTAAAAAATGTGTTTTTTATATAACTTCGTGGATTAAGGCTAGCCTTGAATTTTTTATTCCCTCTCAACGATTACAGGTCAAGCCTCACTCTCGTCCATAGTTTTCCTTATATTGTGCTGTGGCAAATTCTAATCGAAGCCGTTACTTCCATATCTATCAGCATAACAATTCTCCAGAAAACAGACATCTATTTACTTTTTCTAGAAAACATTATAAAAGGGTTTTGTCAGACGTCAAAACTCGCTAGTCTCATGTCATAAAACCTTGTATTTCATCACATAAATTCGGCTCTCGTGACTTCTGGAGAAACTTTAACAGTATCAATAATAAGAGCAAATCTACTACTCCATCTCTTTTGTATGGTTCTTACTCTAAATGCTATTCTCTATCTCTATAAATCTCAAATCCGTCCCTCTATGTAATGCTCTTGCCACTTTTAGGGCGAATGTTCTAATGATCTTCTTTTTCTATAAGACAAGGTTCAAAAACGCATTGCAAGCATTGTTGGACCTGCTCTTGCAGACAATATTCAACGATTGTCACATTGTCGTGATGTTGCTTCGCTTTCTCTCTTTTACAAATACTATAATGGACACTGCTCTAAAGAGCTAGCATCCCTTGTGCCATTTACAAAAATTTCTTCTTGTATTACTCGTCATTTAATAAAGTCTTGTCCTCTTTTTGTGACTGTTCTAAAGTGTTCCAAAAACTCTCGCTTTCCTGATTCCTATAACTTGCAATCATTTAAGTTGTCTGTCAATCGATCGCTTCCTCTATAAACTTCATCTTTTCTTTTCTGGTAGCTTCGAACTCTTATAATGGTTGCTTTCAGCCTTGTTGGAAGCAAAGTTGTGAAAAAAAAATAAAAATAATATTGTATTTTAAAGGTACTGTATTAGTATTAGGTATCAAATTTGCAGTTATAAGTTGCTGCTATGCACCAATAGTGACTTCGGCTTTAAGTTTATGTTGATACATTAGCTTATGTCAGTCAGTCGGCTTACCTATTGGCCTAATTATTGACCTATTTCATCTGTACATCACTAAAACATTTGAATTAAGAATTGAAGTATTGAATTATCATAGTTAGAAAAAACAAGATCTAATTAGTTTTTTTTATTTAGACATAAAGATTCAAATTAAGTTCAAATAATAGACATCAACTACAACAACAACAACAGTACAAAACCTAATAACGTCAACATGTGTTATACCTAAAATACTTTGTTAACAAAACAAAAATAAAGTCTTACCTCTGCTTTGTTTTGTATTTTATTTTGGTTCAGATCGGAGTTTAATTTCATTTGCTGGAAGTGTTTTGATCATCAGACAGTGTTTTTTTATAAGTAGTAATAAAAAGTAGTAAAATTTTATTTGCTAGAGAATGTAAGTTTAACTAAAATAGTACTACAACTTACAGTTTGTATAAATGCATACCCAATACGAAGATTAGTGCCTAAGTAAAAATTAGGAAGAGTTGATAATGTTAACATGTGCTGAAATTGAGTTGATAATGTTAACATATGCTATACCACTTTATTACTATAACAAAAATATCCTCTTGTCTTTAATCTGTTTTGCGTTATATTTTGGTATAGAACAAAGTTTGATTTTTTTTGTGATCATAAGACAATGATCACAATTTTTTGATTTAATGAAAAGCAATAAAAGTAATAAAATTTGAGTGCATGAAATTATTAACGTAATTTTTTTTTTACGTGCTAGTAAATCAATGCTACAGTATATCATTTATAGAACTGCAACCCATTATCTAGACTTCTTCCGCTTGTAACTTCCTCTGTAAACTTAGTAAGGAGAATAGTAGTTAATGCCCTACTTAATGGTAATGCATTAACTACTATTCTCCTCTCTCTAGACATATAAGCAGCCTTTGATTCTATTCTAACAGGGTTAGAACTCTAAAACTAAACTTTACCCTAATCCTAACCCTGACCCTAACCCCAGCCCTAATCCTGACCTGACGCTAATCCTAACTGATTATAAACTTTTAACAGAGCGTAAAAAAATAAATTTGGTTTCACAGGAACTGCACCGGAATGACTGTCTTCATGCCTTCATAATCGAAAAACTTTCTACTGGATCAACAACTTCGTCAATCTTAGATATTTCAACCGGAGTACCACAAAGTAGTGTTATTGACCCAATTTTATTTTCTATGTTTGTGTCTCCAAAATTGCAATATAGCAAAACTTGGATATAATCACCAACAATATGCTGATGACTCAACTATAGACTGGCATCGGACTAGGTATTGACCGCATAAACAATATAGCTCAATTTGCAAATGCAGTCGCGACATGATTTCTTAAAAATAGAATGCTGCTTAATCCAAAAAACAGAAGCTGGCTAGTTTGAAACTATTAAAAAAACATTTCAATTAAAAGATGAAACCCACATTACATTTTCAGGTGCAACTCTTACTCCATAAGGTTTGAAAAAAATTCTTGGTATTAATTTCTTCGTATTAAACTCTCGAATTGATTACTATAAAAAGCTTCTATCTGGGATTTCTCAAAAAAATATAAACAAATTTCAACATATTCCTAATAAGTTAACTCGTGTTGTTTGTCACTCTCCTTTCTGTTCATAATCAAAAATTTTGCTTCAATTGTTCTGTTGTATACCTCTACATCAAAGAATAATGTACAAGATGTCTGTCATAAATTATGAAAAAGATATCAACAAAGTCTCTTGCACAGTGTGTGTGTGTGTGTGTGTGTGTGTGTGTGTGTGTATGTGTGTGTGTGTGTTTGTATGTGTGTGTGTGTGTGTGTGTGTGTGTGTGTGTATGTGTGTGTGTGTGTGTTTGTGTGTGTGTATCGATAAATAACTATATGATAAATATACTATATGATAATAGTTATTGAAAAAATTATTATAAAAATGCAGCTTTAAAAATATTATTAAAAATAAAAAGTACAGAAACCTACACCAAAATAGTATGAGTACAGGAAAAAGCGAGTGTAAAAATTTAAAGAAAAGAGGTTATTCTAATTTAAATATGAGAATCAAAAAAGTACTTATTCTTTTAATGTTTTTACTGATACTAGTGTTATTATTATTATTATTATTTTTATTATTATTTTTATTGTTATTTTTGTTACTAACTATTTGTTATACAATTTTAAATATTAAATTTTAAAATATTTTCAAATCTGTAATGTTAATTTTTAAGCCATTTTAAAAATACTTATTTTTTGTGTTGCTATAAAACAATATTAAAAAAAACTCAAAAATATGTTTATGTATTCTAGATGATCTATAATATATATATATATATATATATATATATATATATATATATATATATATATATATATATATATATATATATATATATATATATATATATATATATATATATATATATATATATATATTAAACATGCTTGATATTTACTTACGTAAAGAAGCTACTGTTATGATTTTTATATTATATGATAAATTAAAGGAGAGTCATAGAATTTATAACACATTAGTTCTTTTTTATTTAAAAAAAGTCACAAATATAATGAATACTCTTATTTATAAAAAACACGCAATATAAAAAATTTAAAATTGCAGCTTCACCACTTTCAGATGAGTCTGGGGCTTTGAATTCGATTATTGGAACACTTCAGCTCTTGGTACACAAACTTCACTTATTATTTGGTGTAATTGGGTTTATTTATATAATTACTATGCTCTGCTTCATCAAATGAAGTTCAACTAAAAAACGTCCTCGCAAATAAATGATAACTTAGTTGAAATACTTATTTCCAATATTCAAGTTTATTTTTAACTTTTGGTTAATATCAAACATTATCATGAAAAATAAATAATTTTTGTTTAATTAAAGCAAATAAAAGTGCGTGTTAACCATTTTGTAAAAAAAAAAAAAATGTTTAAATTTTTTGTTATGAAGTTAGTTCTAATAGTAATTAAATAATAATTTTTATTATACAGTATTGAATTCTTTAAACTATTCACTCGCTTTTGATTAGCCTCTTTTAAAAAATATAAAATAATATTTAAAAAAAGCAATATAGAAAATAAAAAATATATATTAGTATGGGCATATTATTCATAGGGTTGTAGCTATACATTTATTCAGCTGGGTAAGCAATATTTTTATGGATTTGTATAAGATCTCTATAGGCATTTTTTATAACTGATAGTGGTTTGAAAAATCAGTTACTCAGTGGACTAATTGTGGAAGCCACTAAAAGTGGTAAGATGATGACTAGCCAGTGTAACGCATTTTGAAAAATTATTAACTGACAACAAAAAGTAGTTGCTCCTATTTGTCCTAAAAGTAACCATTGAGCAAAATACAAATGCATATATATATCAACTGCATATCCACGGCAAAATGGTTAGCTGGAGGTATACTTAAAATAAATTATTGTTCTATATGGAGAGTACGTAAAAATAATTTTATGATGTCAAACAAACTATAAGACTTACGCTCGACAATCTTTTTAATTATCACAAAGCCTGATTTTTTTTTGACAATTGAAATTGGCTAGATTTTAAACTGTTGCTAATAAATCTCCTGAACTTATAGTTTTTAAAATTTTTAAAAATAATTTTATAAATATTATTTGATTTAATTTCGAATTATGCTTTGTTTTTCAGTTTTTTAAAAATTGTTTTTTAAATGGATGGAGTTCTACGAAATCCACAATTTCAAATTAAATTGTCCGAACTACTTGATCAAGATTGGTTTAAGATTGGTATTTACTTAAATATCAAAGAGCGTATGTTAGAATCAATCAAGAATGATTCTATGAATTTTCCAAAACCAGAACAGAAAGCATATGAAATGATAAAAAAATGGTTCAATTTTGATAAAAATCCGACGTTTGAAAAGTTACAACTTGCTATTTTAAGTATTCCAAAAAACGATTTATTGAAGGAGGTGGAAGATCTTGCAAGTACACATTTAATTTTCTATTATTTGTAATATGTAATGTTTTGAAATTGTCGTTTGTCACTCTCAGGATTAGGGTTAGGATTTGGGTTAATTCTCATATTATGTGTTTAATACTCTAATTATAGATTTAATGTTTTGTTATTATTTAAACTTCCTCATCAAATTCTTTCAGAAATATTTGATTTAAATGATGTTAATATTGATTTTGTTTCATTTTTTGTTATTTGATTATTTTAGATTTTTATAAAATGACTATTATGTTGAAAAACTATTTTTGTGTATTTTATTAGATATGTTTTTAAACGATTCTTCACATTCACCAAGTAACACTAGCGAAAGAAATTCTTTATTAAACACCGGTAAAAATGCAATACATACTATAATAACATGTTAATGTTGAGAATGATAATAATGATCATGATAATCATTATCATGATCATGTTGAATGAATAATTTACTTATGGTAATGATGATAATCACAACGTAATTATAAATACATAATTTGAGATATATAATAAACAAATTAATTATAGTTACATATAAACAATAATTTTATCATAATTTATATATAGTAATAACATAATATAAACACTGAAAACCTTAATTAAAAACTAATTTTGTTTAAAATTATTTTAATTAGATTATAAATAATCTTTGATATACTATTTTCAAATGCTTGATTCTATATATTTTATAAGACATTATTGTTACAACTGTTAAATTGTTACAACTATTATATTATTGTTACAACTACTTTAGAAAGTAATAATATTATCGATTATAGCAAAAAATGTTTAATTTATTTAATATAATACTTTTCTACTGTTCTTATGTGTTATATAAATAATACTTTTTACAGAATAAAAAGAATTGTATATTTCTTGAAATAATTAAATATACTACCATCAATTCCACCTTCACTAAGTCCTTTTTTAATTTTGAACAGAACATTTTTTTAAGTATTACTCTTAATCTCTCAAGATATACAACTTATAATACATTTTTTTTATTATTCTGTAAAAAGTATTAAATAAACAATACCTTAAAGAAAAATATTATATTGAGTTATTATAAAAAGTTTTACTCGAATCGTAATTATTACTTTCGAAAAAGGAAATTCAATTATTTCTTTTTTTTAAATTTTGAACAGCAAATTTTTTCAAAGCTCAATATTAAATCACTGTGTAAGTTGTTACAGATTGTAACAACTTACGCAATGAGAAAATGTTGTGCTTTGATGAAAAAATATAAAGTGGTAGGTCATGATAACTTACAGTGGCGCGCCACTTAAACAACTGAGCGAATGTTAAATTTACTACACAAGGGCGTAGCAAGAATTTTCCACCCAGGGAAAAAATGTAAAAAATTATTAGGCGATGATGCGCAATACCTTTATGATGTATCTCGTTTTTTTAACTTAGACGAAATTGTTTTTGAGTTAGTACCAAAAACTGGAAAATTAATTGGCATTAGAGGCAGAAATGTTTATGAAGAATGCAATAACAGTGATAAAGAAAAACCTATATTCTATTAAACAAATTTTATTTTTTTACAGGCAAGTTGTTTTTGTTAATTGTTTGTTTTGTTTTTCTTTTATATATTAAGTATGAACAATTAGGCGTAATCATTTACGATTGAGTGTTTGAATAAGCAAGTTTTCTTTTAAAAAAAAAAGTTTAAAGTTGTAAAATTACAAAAAAAGCGTTAAGAATTTCTTGAAAATGAAACTTACAAAATATTATTTCGCTTATAAACGCGAGCAACTAAACATATAATTTTTTTTATATAATACAAGACAAGTTGTTGATAAATTTGTATTTGAATCCGCTTTTCGGCGCGTTACATTATTGAAAAGTTGTAGGGAAGTGTTATAGGATTTTGAAAAATGTTGTACGATGTTCTTAACGATTTAAGTAGCAGATTTCAACAAAACAAACTCCTGTTTGCAACATCTCATAATGACTGGAATGTGATGAAATAGCGAACTGTCCTGTTCAGTGATGAATTGAAGTTCAACATCATTGGAAGCATTTGCCGGCATTTGCGACGTACACGGCATTTGTCGTGTACGTCGATAGGTCGGAAAACGCCTCTATTTACGTTACTGCCATAAAACCATGAAGAATGGTGGAGGCAATGTAATGGTCTGGGGGTGTTTTTCTGCTAACGGTCTAGGTCCAATACATCGAATCAATAGAATATTAGACCGTTTCATATATAAAATTATCCTGAAAGATGTTATGTTACCTCATGCTGAATGGAATATGCCATTAAATGGATTTTTCAGCAAGACAGCAATCCGAAACACACTGCAAAAGTAGTCAAGCAGTGGTTTCAAGTTAACCATCTATTGGTGATGAATTACCCGACTCAATCTCGGTATCTCAACCATAATGAGAACTTGTGGAAGATCGTCTACTACATAATTAATCGTGAAGGTGTTCGTAATAAAGATCAACTGTTTGAACAAATCCAAAAAGCATGTATATATATATATATATGTATATATATATATATATATATATATATATATATATATATATATATATATATATATATATATATATGTATATATATATTTACATTTATATATATATATTTACATTTATATATATATATATATATATATATATATATATATATAAATATATATATATATATATATATATATATGCATATATATATATATATATATATATATATATATATATATATATATTAATATAAATATATTAATATATATATATATATATATAATATATATATATATATATATATATATATATATATATATATATATATATATATATATATATGTATATATATATATATATATATATATATATATATATGTATATATATATATATATATATATATATATATATATATATATATATATTTACATTTATATATATATTTACATTTATATATATATATATATTTACATTTATATATATATATATATATATATATATATATATATATATATATATATATATATATATATATATATATATATATATATATATATATATATATTTATGTAAATATTAAGTTATAATAGTTAATAATTAATATTAACAAAACGCTTTTTTATCAAATGATGGTCTGTCAATTCAAACAGCGCTAGTTCGTTTAAAGAACTCAAAACCTTAGGGTGAGCTCCGACATTTATATCCGATATAAAGTCTTGGCTTTCTCTACTGTGACTATAAGAAAACTTTTAACTTCAAAACTTCATAACATTAAAACCTTAACATATTTTTATTTATGATTTTCAAATTAATATTTTATACTCTCCTATTAAATACTTCATCTTTTTTTAAATTAAGTTAAGTTATTTTTTTAATGTTAATTTTATTAGTTTGTGAGATCTAGTACGTTTTTCCACCAACTCGGTATGAAAAAATAGTATAATTTATTTATATACATCGAGAAACATAAATATAAATATATTATGGTTACAAAACAAAAAAGACATTGGTTTTCAAATTTTTTTCTAATGTTTTGCTCTTAACTTAAACTTTTTTTTTTTAAACTCTTTTTTTTTGTTTTTTATTTTTATATTCTGTTGTAACAGCTTTTTTTCTTTTAGATTTTTCTTGTTTTTCTTTTTCTTTTAATTTTTTTTTCAGCAGCGTTTTTATGTTCAATTTTTTTTTTTGTTATATCTTCTTCTTCTTTCTCATGTACTTTTATTTGATTTTCTAACCATTTGGTTAAAGTTTCACAGCTCTCTAGTCGTTCAACTTGTTTCAGCATTTTCTTTTGTGATTGGTTGTTTTGACCATAAAAGAAAAGTGTTAAACAGATTTATATCTTTTACTATTTGTTTATTTGAATGTGGTGGATCTGTTGATGATTCACTTTCACCGTATTTATCAATTATTACACACTTTCCGAATTCGCTAACGTTACGAAAAATATTTTCATTCTGCCTAATGCTAATATCTAAATACCATTCTTTATCAATTTCAATGTTTGATACATTATTTTTTGACTTCTATTAAATTACTGGTTTGCTTAGAGCTATCGTTAAATTTCGGTTTATTCCGAATATTAAATAATTCTCTGAAATTAGTTTTTCTTCGCCATTCTTCATTTCCAGTTTTTTCAACGTTTTTTTCAAATATATTTTCCATATTATTATGGCTCGGAAGATTTGTACTATTTTTATCAATTATAAAATTCAATTTAATATGTTAAATTACTTTTATATAATTATTACATTTATAAATTCAATTTAATATGTTAAATTATTTTAATATTATTATTAATTTATTTAATTATTATTTTAATTAATTAATATATTAACTTCAGTTTAATATGTCAAATTTGTATAATTAATAATGTTCACATTAAATGGTAGTAATCCTGTCAACTTAAATCCGTTAATAACATTTTATATATATATACATTTTTTCATCTTAGAATCCACAACAAAATTATTCAACAACATTGCTTCAACTTTTTTGGAAATTCCATTAAATTCGTTTTCTACTTTAAATTGCCCACAAATTTTCTTTCATTTTTTTCATTGGTCCGACACTGACACATCTAATGATTGTAAAAAGTGTGTAGCATTAGGAATCAAAGAAACCAATTAAACTTTTTCCGAAGAGCAATACATGCTGAGTTCTTTAGACAGATGCAAGCAATGTCCATCCATGAAGATATATATTGGTACTTATGTATGATTAAATTTCAAATGCTGTACTAATACATTTGTGAAGCACTAATAAAAGTATTCGCCTAATATCTAGTCGCTTGCGCTTTTGCCAAGACCTCAATCTAGTGGTACTGCAACAGCAACAGTTTTTTGCATTCGAGAATACTTGTGCAATGTTAATGATAATGCAAATTAACTATTTGCATTTACGCAGCATGGAGTTGTAAGGTTTTCCTTATCACTGTTATTGCATTCTTCATAAACATTCCTGCCTCTAATGCCAATTAATTTTCCAGTTTTTGGTACTAACTCAAAAACAATTTCGTCTAAGTTAAAAAAACGAGATGATTCATAAAGGTATTGCGCATCATCGCCTAATAATTTATACACCTCATTAAATTATTTTTGAAATAATATAGCTTAGTACTAAAATTTAATGAAAATAAATAAAACTTGAAACTTTCATAAAATTGACATCTGTGGTTTTACCCGTGTGTCTTTATTTATTCAAATAACGTTTAAATAAAAAAAGTTTATTTGTTTATGAATTTTTTTTTTTTCATTTTCACCTAAAGTTACTAAAGTTACTTTCGGTATTTATTTAACAAACAATTTTTGCACATTAGGGAGTTATAATCAATTTCCACTGACTCAAATAATTGTTGGGAGAGTTGGTTATTTAATCGGAGATAAGTTTGACAGTTTTGGACGTCGTCTTGGTTTATCTCAATATGATGTTAGCAATATTAATACCGATGAACGAAATGCGCAAGCAAAAGCAGTTGCTGTTATAAATATGTGGATTGAACGTAATGGGATCTCAAAATGGGAACAGTTAAAAAAAGAGCTGTTATTGTTTGAATGTAAAAATACTGTTGAAATAATTGAGAATGAGTTTGCATATAAATAATGAGTAACGCAACTAATAATTTATTTTTTAATAAATTATTATTTGTAGTACATGGCAAAAAAAATATTCATATAGTAAAATATGAAACTTTTTTTTTTTAAATTGCATTTTTATTGAATTAGAATCTACCCTAAAGTCATAATATATCATAAATATACTATAAATAGTATATAATTCAATATGTTATGTTTAATATACCTTAATAATATGTTAAATTTAATATACCTTAAAAAAACCAAAGAGCAATTAGTTTAAATATTATAAAGTTATGAGAAAATGATTTGTTATATAGCCTGCTTTTTAAATTCAATTCTAAAAAAAAAAAAAAAGTGTAACAATAATTAAACTAACTTTTTTCATCTTTCTAAAATGTTAATATGTATTTTTTAAAAATTGCAAAACTAATTTTATATATTTTTATAGCCAGAATAACCTTTCTACCAAACAAATTATTGTCGTTTGCATCTTTATTTTCATTATTACTTTCTATATATTGTTTTTTCTTTGTCTAATTTTTTTTTATTTACATTAAAATCTGTAATGACATTGAAAAAATGAATGTTTTCTGACCAATGAAACCATTAGTCAACCTTGATAAAGTACATTGGTTATCTCTACGGATGCATGTTTTGAACTCTTCCATATTGCTGACACAAAACTTTTACTTGTTGAAAAAGGGAAGCTAACAAAAGTGTTAGTAGGCAGAAGTTAAAAAATTTATGTTTCACTTTATACTTTTTACTAAACATTTCAAAACAAGAGGCGTTATTATCTTTTTTTTAATAAAGCGAACAAATAAGAAACATAGTCCTCAAGTCACTTTATAAGTTCTAATGTTTTTTTTTTTCAAAAAAAAGCTCATTAAAATTTCAAGAATAGAAACATTGGATTTGTAGGTGGTATACATACACACATACGTTGTTAAAACATTAGAATAATGTCGAGTGTTTCGTTGGCCCATCATTGGCTGCCAACGATATTTTTATATTGTAAAGGTTACAAATGAGACGTCGTTAATAAATAATAAGCAATGTTCAAAAAATGTTTATTTAAAGTTGGCAAATGATTATATATTCTACTTTAATTCAAACTTTGATTATATTTGCTGGCCATACGTTGTATTTTAAGTTGGTACAACGTTGTATTTACGTTGATTCAACGTTGAACTTTAATTGTCAAACGTTGTATTTAATATTATTTGGAATTAAATTTTCATTAAATTCTGTTTTCTTCATATATATAATGTATAACATATAATGTATATATATATATATACATATATATATATATATATATATATATATATATATATATATATATATATATATATATATATATATATATATATATATATGTTTATAAATATATATAAATATATACATATGTATATATATATATATATATATATATATACATATATATATATATATATATATATATATATATATATATATATATATATATATATATATATATATATATATATATATAAATATATATATACATATATATATATATATATATATATATATATATATATATATATATATATATATATATATATATATATATAGTTTATAAATATATATAAATATATACATATGTATATATATATATATATATATATATATATATATATATATATATATATATATATATATATATATATATATATATATATATATATATATATATATATATATATTTATGGAACAAAATTGTTGTTCAAATTTTGGTTTGTCAATTTCGTTTTCCGTTTTTAAAACTAAATTAAAAAACTATATTCTTTCTACTGGCAATGTATATAAGTATTTTTGAAATGTAAAATTCTTTTTTTTACTCTTGATAATTTGTAAAATTATTTTCAGTTTTTGTTTCATCTACATTGTTAATAGTTGTTTATATACACGTATGATATTTTTTATATGGTTCTGGCGACAAGATCATTTGGATCTTCTTTCAGATACCAAGTTTATACATTCTTATATTGTTATATTACGATTAATAATTGTAAACTGATATATATATATATATATATATATATATATATATATATATATATATATATATATATATATATATATATATATATATATATATATATATACACATATTAGCCTAGACCATTTTTTTGTCATAGTGAAACTGTGGAACACACAGTAGTTAATTTTTATCTCTAGTGTTAAGTTTTATTATTAAATATATTTTTTTAATTTGTTTCGTTTTATTTGCTATTCCCGCCAAAAAAAAAAGAAATTTTTTTACCCATTTTCGGCTTATTGGCGGACTAAGTTAATATTATCCAAGAATTTTCATTGGTAATTTAAAATGTTTATGAAAGTCTATGTTATGACATATTAACACTAATATTATGAGAGATATTCCCATGTATTATATGTGTCCGCTAAGTTATAGGATGGATCCGCTAAGTTATAGGAAGAGTTAGCAGATATGACAGTTTTGGTTCTGCAAACTGGTTTCTCCCAAGCATTCTTGACCTGCAGTGTCGGACAAAACAAGTGCAACCAAAAAATGCAAAATTTAGTTTCTTTATGTAAAAGTGCTGCATTTTTTTAATTTAGAGAAATAACTATATCACTGTTTACAGACAACGTTCTTAAAGTTTTATTCATCACAAAGTTCAGTATTTGTACACGAAAATCAATAAATTAATCAAAGTATTAAAAAAAGTTGATTTCCTTTTAGACAAAACAAGTGCAACTCCACAAAATGTTAACCAAGCTGTACTTCGCTATCAATGTTTCGTGGCGAATCCTTTGTTGTCGATCACAGTCTTGCATCTTCGATGCATAGATTCAAACAGGTGATCAATGTAACTTTGTGTAATCGCTGCCTAGGCCTTTTGGATTTGTTCAAACAGTTGATCCTTATTACGAACACCTTCACGAATAATTCTGAGGTTGACAATCTCCCACAGGTTCTCGATAGGGTTGAGATCCAGAGATTGAGGCGGCCATTCCATCACCGCTTGATGGTTGTCTTAAAACCAATCTTTGACTTCTTTTGCAGTTTGTTTCGGATCGTTGTCTTGCTGAAAAACACATTTTATTTGCATATTTCATTCAGAATTAGGTAAAATAACATCTTTCAGGATATTTTAATAAATAAAACGGTCCGTTATTTAATCAATTTGATGTATTGGACCTAGACCGTTAGCAGAAAAACACCCCCAAACCATTATATTGCCTCCAACATGCTTCACGGACTTATGGCAGTAACGTAAATCAAAACGTTTTCCGGCTGGTCGACGTACACGGCAAATGCCATCGTTCCTAATGTTTTTGAACTTCGATTCATCACTGAATAGGACAGTTCGCCATTTCTGCACATTCTTTTCAATATAAGATGTAGCCAAAAAAAAATTAAATAAAATTTTGAAGTTTTCTCATTTTGTAGATATATAGATGGACGCAATTATTACATATAATGCCTGGAAACTCAACATATTCTAAAGACATTTACACTTACATACGTTTTTATATAACGTTATACAAATTGAACTAAGAAGATCTTAGAGCACTAAAACATTGTCATTAACAAAAATTCATTCTTATGATTATGATTAAGAACTAAAGAATATTATTAAACGCTAATCTAAAAGTTAAGCCAAAAAGATTTTGCGCGTTGACGACAGTTCGTGGCAAAATAAACCTTTATGCGTCAAGTTTCCTTTTGCACTTATTTTAGAGTGCAAAAGGAAACTTATGCGTTAAGTTTCCTTTTGCGTCAAGTTTCCGTTTGCACTTATTTTAGATTTTTTTTTATTTTTACATTGTTTTTATTATGTTGCATACAAATGCATTAAAATATATAAAACTGGTATAGATATATATAGTTTTCACGGATAAGAGATTGTATTTTTACAACAGTAATAAATAAATAGCCATCCGTAAAGATGTCATTATTTTAAGCCAGTTTTTGACCCCTCCCCCCTTTATCACCTGTTGTTTTTTTTCCTTATACCCCTTTGAAAAAGACGCCATAAAATCCTGCCCCTCCCCAACCAAATTAAACCCGCATTCCCCCAAAAAAAAAATTATTTGATCTCCCAATGATGTTTGAATCTGCTGCTACACCTTTGAAAAATAAAACTAAAAGTATTCTTAAACATTATCTTCTTAAAAACACATATTTACATATTTTTTCATGCTAACTAAACTAAAATTAAAATTAAAAATAAAGTAACGTCCTTTTCTGACATACTAACCCCTCTCCTTGTTCTTTTTTGTCCTTTTTATCTCAAACCCCTTCCCCCTCTCCTTATTTAGATGACGCCATTTATGGATGGCCTCTTGTATCTTTATTAGAATATATCCCATAAAAATATATTCCATATATCTTTAATAGATAGAGTTTTTATAAAAAATTGAAATAAAATCTTATTCATATGACTATCATTTTTAAAGGTCTAAGATGCAGATGACATAACATTAAAAATCAAAAATTATCGAGAAAGGAGCAAATCCAAAAATGAAGTTTCAAATTTTTCACTCGGAAGTGACAATATGTTTCGTGTTTTTTTAATATTGTCAATTTTTTTAAAATATATTAACATAACTGCAAAAAATCCAAACAAAACAGCTTGAGCAAAAAAATGCTTTTAATAATTAGAAAAGTTTACTTATGTTACATACAATCCTGAATAAAACGCTATATAAGTGGATTTTTTACATTTCATAAACATTATATACATATATATATATATATATATATATATATATATATATATATATATATATATATATATATATATATATATATATATATATATATATATATATATATATATTTATATACATATATATATATATATATATATATATATATATAAATATATATATATATATATATATATATATATATATATATATATATATATACATATTTATTATTATATACATATTTATTATTTGCATTCACTCCCAACAAGGCTGCAAGCAACCACTATTAAGTTGGGAGTTACTGAGAAGAAAAAAAAACAGAGTTATAGAGCATGGAAACGGTTGACGGACGACTGGAAAAATTGAAGGTTGTATGAGTCAGAAAAATATAAAGATGG